TAAGATTATTTAATAAAAGAAGTATTTATTAGTCCGTTTATAGACGAAAGCCATACTGAGTTACGTGGCCTCTCTTATAAGATTATTTAATAAAAGAAGTATTTACAGTATAAATTTTGCTAACGATTTCCTCTAGGATATTTTTTTCTTATTTATAAATAAATTAATAACGGTTAATTTCGCTTACCAGTAAGTGCCTTTTTTCGTTGCCCTTAACTATTTTACGCTTCCCGATCTCATCGACTGTTGACACAAATAGTTTATGTATTGTCTGGTAGACACTCGATACGTAAATTTGTGCATCACTCTCGGCTCAGTAATTTGTTAGACATTTTGTATATTTTGCATTCTTCATCGTAGTTAATAAAAAAAAAAAAATTGTCAAACAATTTTGGATCGGATATCCGGGAGGAGTTCGAAATGTGAAGAAAAATAAGACAGAAAAACACATTTCTTAACGTGGATAATAACCGGTAATTTATGCATTCTAAATTTTTCTCGAAATTATTTAAACACGTATTTTATTTTAGTAAAAACTGAGGATTTAAAACTATTATTTATGAATTATCTTATATTTTATTCATAATTATTGCAATATTATTTTACTTATCAAACTATTTGATTATCTGATAATTAGAAATTTAAATTATCCGCCATAACATCCACACAATTCTTTTGTTACCTACGACATCCTTTAAAAAGAAATAATATACATTTGCCTTCTCTTATAAATGTGTATTCTTATAGAGCGTATTAATTGAAATAGTACACATATACACAATTGAATATTAAAAATGATTATTTCATTATCTTTAATAACTTTAAAATTGATATTTATTATAGCGTAGACCTAGACCTGAGATAACCGATTTCTGCATTAATTATTTTTGATAATGGGTCAAGACCAAGCAGAAAAGTACTGTACGTAAATTTGTATGCGATCGAGAACTTCACGTTAAAAAATAAATTGTCAGTATATATTTTTAGCATATTTTATTTAAAAAATATATAAATCCATTAGTGTAATTTCGATATAAGCTTTCTTTAAAATATAATATCGTACGCAATACGACGATAATGACACGCGACGTTAATAACGTATTGTGACACTAATGACGCATTGTTTAAAATGAAGAAATCTTTTCAAGTCTTTAGTTCAAATACCACGTGAAAGAATATTTGTAGCATACTTTCTTTCGATTTAAGAATTAGAAAACAGATGATATAGGTTATTTACAGATAGGCGTACAATCGGGATTTAAGATCTTGACCGAATTTTCAAGGAAAGTACAAATAATCTATCAGTCATTTATTTTCTTAAAAAAATCAAAAGTATCCAAGAACAAACCGCATTATATTTACTTTAATTTTTATTTCGGTACAGACACTGTGGCCAATTGGCTAATTCGTAATAACACTTGCGTTTTTCCTTTTTTTTAATATTCTTTTTATTTTACATTGCAAAATGCTTTAATTCGTCGATTTTTCTTCTATATTTTCTATTTACTTATGAAAATTTGACCGAGAGGATTTTTTTTTCTTATCGTTGTTTTGCTCTTGGTTGGTTATTTCCTGTATTTCTTTGTTTAGCCAATTCTAAATATTTTATCATTTGGAAAACTAGAGCAGACTGTCAGAGAGTTTTGTGAAGGATATTTAGTAGTTATAGTTTCTTTGGTGGCTCTAGTTGTTTTTTTCCTGTAGTATTTTCCTATTATATCAAGAAGACGAGAGTTGTTAATTTTAATCTTTATTATACATATTTAACTTCTGTAATTAAGTTCAAACGTATCGGAAGCTTTCACAAAAACAACTGTAATCCATACAACCGAGACTAAACTATTTTTAAAATTAATTAACCCTTCGGCCTGTGGCTGCCGATCTGGAAGATACATTCACAATAATCTCTTAAATGTCTTTGTTTCGAAACTGCGTAGAATCTGGCAAGTTTGGGTAATTATTCTTAAGGGATAGGCAACATCGATTAGATAGCAATGATCGGTCGGTTCTTTATTGCCGGCAAAATGCACGTTTTTCTCGTGGTCCAACAAAATGGCTACCTTAGTTTATATCCGAGAGGTATCGCGCGATCTATTACAGTAGCCTATTTTTGTTATTTTTTAGATTTTTTTCGGTTTTTGCGCGAAAATAGAGACTTATCGCGTATGGAATCGACAACGAGAAGGATTTTGAAAAATTACGGTAGATCTCGCTGGAGTAAAATGATAAAAGTTCGATTATTGAATCAGAAAATGATTTAGTGAAAGAACGTGCAGTAAACCGAAAGAAGAAATTTCAAATGATGAAGTTATCATTCTAACGTAATACATTAGCGTGCTATTGTCAACATGTAATGCATATTAATGCATATTAACATATACAGTTAACTATCGCACGTTTCGCTTCATTTTTGTACTTTATTAGGCTAATTTTTAACAGATTTTAATAAAATATAGTTTTTACGCCACTCAAAACAATTTTATCATCTTGATTACAAAATGCAATAAATGCCTTTTAATTTGAGCTTTTGACAACCGATACACTGATAAAGAAATTTTATTAATGTATCCGACGGAAAGGCTGACACCGTCTCAGGTTCGAGAAAAATATGGCGTTGCCATCCGTAGGTAAATGTATTTTACATTAACTTTATTTAAACTTGACACACGTTAACTTAAAAATATACGTATTGTGATAAATAAACTTTCTATATTATGTTTATTTATTTAAACAAAATGTGTAATATAGAAAGTTTATTAAAGTAGTTTATAATTGTTTTCATTATAAAACCCTTTAAATAATAAAATAATTCTTATTTTATTATATAAAAAGAATGTATCTTTATTATATCATAAATAAAGATACATTCTTTTTATATAATAAAATATCTTATTTTATTATATAAAAAGAATGTATCTTTATTATATCATAAATAAAGATACATTCTTTTTATATAATAAAATATCTTATTTTATTATATAAAAAAAATCCGTTTTAATTATTAATTAAAATATTTGTACAATAAAATAAGTTTAAATTCTAAATCGGCTTCTCTCGAGCCGCCAATTATATTTATACAGTAAAAAATTGGTGGGAGAAACCATAAAATAGCATAAAAAATTTAATTGACTATACAGATTCAATTTATTCAGAAAGAAAAGCTGTCTTACGAGCTTATGAATTTATAAATACAAATAACGACAGCTAAAGAAAAGCCGATTTAGAATTTTTATTGAGTCGAGTGTGTTTGTCACAAAAACAATGCCAAGAACATCGATAGAAATTTCTATTCGGTTCACAAATGTTTCTCTTTTAAAGAATTTCCTTGTAACTCGAACAAAACCGATAGAAATATTCAATGATATAACCTTGAAATACATAAAAGTATTCATTAATTGTATGCAATTAAACAAAAGTAAAATTCAGACGAGGAAAAACAGGAATTTATTTTTCTTACGTAAATTTCAACGTACCGATCAAAAAATTTGATAAAACATTTTAGCTTCTTACTACTACGTCGCCGGTATTTTCGATCCCAAATTTAGGAAATATTCTAGGAAAATGTACAAACGTAGTCATTCGGACGATTTTTCATCATTTTTTTTTTCATTCCAATAAAAAAATCGATAAATTTAGAATTGTAATTCTTTTGATTAATGTAATTTCTATTGATCAGAACGGGAACGTACAGTACATAAAAGCTGATTAAACGTCACATTATAACACGTGAAAATATTTTTTATGTTAATAATGCATTTACGAATATTCAAACGAGCTTATTTTAATTTAAATCTGTATAACACGATCGAGTATTATAGTTTAGTATTGTTGGATTTGTTTAATGTACTGTACGCCAGAGCGCAATATCGAGGTAACGATGCCCGAGGCAACCAATCAGTTGCCACCTCCCGATTTGTAATAAACAATTCTCGAGAAATTTTCCTCATCTTTAAATGCCAGACTACGCCATATTCATATCTAACAAGTAAATCTTGAAAAACGTACCGAGTGATCTCATTTTTACTAGCTGCTGTTTTTTTTTCTTTTTTTTATTTTGTATAAGCTACACTTGATTTATATTGGCCAATATAACTCACTAAAAATTGGCCAATAAAAATAATTACTGTATATTAGCCAAGTTTTCTTTTAATAATTGACCAAATTTTTATTTAAAAAAATACAAATATAATATAAGAAATAGAATAAAATATTGAGTATTGATACAAAAAAATAATGATAAAATGTTGCGTACAAAAAATAAACATAAACGGCCAAAGTAAATATTAATAAATGTCGAGTATGAATGTTTCGTAATTAAATTGTTTGAAATTATCCTGAAATAAATTTAACGTTATCTAAAGTTATTTATGAGTGTAGAACGGAGAACGTTCCTTCTATTGCCTTCTAATTCCTTCTATTGCATCCCTTGAACTTTTAAAGTTCTCTCTGGCACTTTCATAAAAAATTCGTTTTATTTTTTATTTATTTAAAAGGTAGAAATTGTAGGATCGTCCAATTTTCTCACTTATATTTTAACACGGCTTTAGACAGTTTAGCGATTAAGAAAAGTCATCCGTGCCCGTTTCTCGGTGTCTACATTTGGGTCTAACTTAGGAATTTACAGCAGAAAGAATACGTTTAAATTTATAAATGTATTATTATAAATTTAATTATACGTTTAAATTTATAATAATACGACTTTTTTAAATTAAAATCGCATATAAAAACAATAAATTATCGATAAAAAAACAGAAAAAGATTTAAAAAGTTCGGTGGATGAAAGAATTTTATCTTCCAAAATCTCTCAGAACTCCGGGATGCACCCCAGATTAAGATCCTTTGCTTTAGAAATTAGCAAATTTCTATGCTGAATGTGCAAATATGTTTAGCATAAAGTTATAAATAAAATATTATTACAGAATTTACTTTAAATGACTAAAATAGGTGAATAAAATAATAAATAAAGGTACTGTACATTTTGTAATGTACTTCTTCTTTATTATGACATCGAAACTTCTCGGTTGCAAACACAAGTAACTTACATAATTAAAGTAAATGCAGTACTGTATTTGTATTTAGTACACGAGTAAACATATATTTCACTTACTGCCATCTGTATGCAATGTTATAAATTATTTCAACCATTTTCATGTTATAAAATGGAACAACGAATCGTTTGTTATATTTACAACATTATTATGTTTATTTAATTTATATAAATAATTTGAAACATCAAAATGACTATTTTAAGCCGTTTTATGTAAATGAAATATTAAAAAATGAACTTATATTGAATATCGTTATCAATAAGTGGGGACTTCGAGAGGAAGAAACTGGGGATTTTTTTCAGGTCCACATGAAAACTTAGAGGTCCGTTTAATAGTTGATAGCCCTATAAAATTAATATTATTTTTACCAACGGAAAATTAAAACCTTTAAGATTATTTGTTATTAATAAAGAAGCATTTTACCTATTTAATTTGTTTTAAAAAACATGACTAAAAGGGCCCCGTATAAGCTTTCCACGACACTGTGAAGAAATCATTGTAAACTATAAATAAACTAATTTAAAGGTCAATAAGTTAATTAAAAGTTAGTTCATTTAATTAATTATAATTAAAAAATTTACGATTATTTATTATTATCCTTATTACTTTCGAATTTCAAGGAGTTATTCTTCGGGTCAATGCTAAATTACTAAATTCTTTTAAGTTCTTATTTTTAAAAAAGCAGTTATATAGAATTATTAATTAATTTTACAATTTTTATATTCGAATTTCAACCGCATACTATATTATTTTAATTAATTAATTAACTTTAATTATAACGTGTATTAAAGAGAACAAATTGCATATTAGTTTAATTATAATTTAATCAAAAAAGTAGCCTACATATTAAATTAACTTAGTAAATATATTTATTGATGATTTTTTACATATTTAAATACAAATAGAATTCTGTGAAATCTTTTCTGTTTATGAAAGAACACAAATCCCGAAATAAAAGGGGAATATTAGGGAAATTTCCCCGAATTTCTGAAATTCCCGAATATAAAGATTCGACTAAACTTTATCGAGAAATCTCTCAATAAAGTTTAGTCGAATCTAACGAATTAAATGACTTAAAATATAGATTAATTATTTTAATGACAATAAATAAAATATAACGAAAATTAAGAGTTTGTATTTTATTTTCCGTTTTATTTCATATAAAAATAAAATCGAAGAGAAACCACAAATTGACATTATTCAAAAAGATATATTTGATATTGATAAATCATATTTCCCGAAACTGAATCTTGGCCTCTTAATTTACGTCATCAAAATTAACCTCGATTTTTAAAAATACTTTGGAAAATCCTTGACCGAATGATTCCGATCGGAAATAATTAAAATAAAACATTTTTTAAAAAATTCACGAAAAATATATTATTTTAAAGTTCAACCTTATAAACATTATAAATTTTATGGTTTATAATAACAATAAAAAGTAAACTGTAGTCAAAATAAATATTAGAATCTAGAAACTTTTTTTACTTATAATTTAAAAGCTAGTTATTTCAGGTTTTAAGGAGTTATTCAGTATGCATCATTGATCCCAATGAATAATACAATAGAAAACTCGGAATTCGATTGTTATTTTTTGAACTTTCTCTTCAAATTTTAATTGGAATTTTGGACATGGTAAAATTCATATACTTGTAGTTGTTCCTCGTATTTTTTAAATTGTATGTTCTTAGAATAAACATTTTCCTTATTTTAATAAAGGAGAATAGAAGGAAATTTGAGAAATAAAATTTCCTTATCGCTATTTAAATCGAAAATTAAATGCAAAATATATAAACATTAAGGAAAAAATAATAAATAAATAATCAATAAATTAATAAAATCTCCAATTTCTTTTAATCAGAAGGAAAGGTTGTTCTTATTTATTTATTTATTTACTCTTACCGCCAGTGAGCATTAAAAGGGATTTTTCTTTTATCCCGGCCGCCATATTGTGGGCCTACCGAACCCACAACGTGGAGGCTGGGTGAGGGGTCCGATGTATAAGGAAAACGATTCCTTTATTCTCCGTTAATACATTTTTCTGTGTATCTGTAGAAAATAATATTTCTACCAAAGTTGTTATAATTTTAGGTCCTTTCGGTGGAAGTGTTATTTCTTACAAACGTATATTTTCTCACATCTCGAATTTACTTTGTTATACGAATTAAATTTCTTGAATTTTAAAACAATTAATTTGGAAGATATATTACAAATTTATTTATGTACAAAATTATCATTTTTTTTCTCTTCGAACACGATTAAATATTATATATTATTTTCTTGTAAATTCGAATAAATTGGACTTTTAAGTTAAACTCCAGAGCTTAAATTTATTTTATAAAAATTTAACGGATTTCATGGTTGTGTATATTATTCTTGAATTACTTACTTTACTCAAATATTAAATTGTATTATTTACTTTATCATTGAAGTTTGTCGTAATTTTGTTCGAAAGTACTTTACTCTGTATTTGTTAATCGTAACACCTTACACAATTGCTTAAAATTAATTAATCCTCCCACACCAGAGCATTTGTTACGAAAGAACTTTCTCTTAATATACAGACTCGAAAAATAAATTTGTTATTTATTTTTAAAATAAATTCGTCTTTAAAATTTTTAAATTTTGTGCGTAAATTAATTATTTTCGTTATATTTTCATACCTTATTTATGTACCGGTGCGTAACCACTTTTTGTACGTGTACAGTACATGTAAATATTGTGTATTGAACTTTCATGGTTGTTTAATTTTTAAGTAGGTTATACCATGAAAATAAGAAATTATTTTTTTAGTTAAAGCTTTTTTACTTTGCTAATTTAAGTTGTAAGAATTAAAAAGTAGAGGAAAAAAACTAGGCGAGCTTTCATCACTTTATTGTGCAATTTATGTTTGCACGGCTTTACAAATAAAAGGATAATAGAATAAACATAATGATAATTTTCAAATATAGGACAAAGTAAAAATTTAATGATATTAAATATTAATATAGTCTAAGCTAGGTATTAATCTCTTAATCAACGTCGTACGACTATATTTTTCTATTTGATATATTTATAAAATCAATTTAAATAATACAATTACAATGTCTTAAATTGAAAAATGGTACTCTCTTTTTTTTTCACTAGAGTAATAAAAATTTCTTATTTAATATCGCAACAAAAAAGGAAAAAAAAAAAGATGTAAAGATAACGAGAATAAACTAAAGAATTTGTAATACTGTATTTTAATTAAATAGTAATCTGATATAATTTCTTAAATATAAATACAGTAGAACCTCGATTATCCGGACTAATTGGGGATGAAGGTTGTCCAGATAAGAAGAAATTCGGATAATCGAAACAAATACTTTAATTTGTCTTTTAATGATAATACAACACGTTTTCTTTTTGATGACATATCGGTAATATTAAAAGCAAATGCTGTATTTAAATCGTGATCAAATTTTCAAGAAACAAACGTTCGTATTGAATTTGGGCCACTACTGACCAACGCTAACAGACTACCTATTGTTTAAAAGGCCCTCTGGTGGCGCAAGAAGACGGATTTTATAAAATAAAAAGCAGTTGAAACTGCATTTTTATGAATAAAAATTTGACAAACTATTTATCGTTTTATGATGAGTAAAATTTTTTCGTCGCGTTCGCGGCTTTTAAGTAATGCATAAACCTTCGAAACGCGAGGCCCTTCGGACTGCGAGGCATAGGCGGTGGCCCACGTTGCCCATGCCTTATGCCGCCCATGGTCATAGAAATGATGTAATTTGAATATAAATTATTTATAAATACGTATGTCAAGTTATATTTTTATTATGACGTAAAATATATTTAAGAGTTTACGATCAGTGGGTGAGACGTTGTTGAAACAAAAAAAAAGTTATGCATTCCATCACGTACATAAACAGTGTCGTAATTCGCCAAGTGCAAATAAGCAAATTCGTAAAATTTTTATTTTGAACAATCCGAATAATGGAGGTCCGGATAATCGAGGTTCTACTGTATATAAAAAAAATTCATAAATCGACGTATAACTCGCTCCAGAAATATTGTAAACAGTTCGAAAAGTTTATTTTATAGACTTGTATAAAGATACTTAATATTAAGTTACAAGTAATGCTCATGAGGCCTAAATTCGAGCCGGAAGATTGAGCAATAAATGCAAAAGTACGAATAAAAATCGCCTTTAATGAGATTTACAGATCGAGTGCATTGTAGTGTTTCGCGATAATGCACAGAAAAAAGAATGATGTTGAATATTTAACGAAATATGCAAATTACGCAATTAATATCCAGAAATCGCAGGTAAAATCTCGACGATAAGGCGACTTTCGTTAAGGCCAGGAAAGAAGTACAGTAATACCTCGACTTATTAGAACCCGGAGTTACGCGATTTTCAAATCTCGTCGATTCGTCTTTTGTTTGAGCGCCACTCAACTCTTGATTACTCACTCCCCCACACCTATTGTTCGGCTTAGATGTTCGTACGTGCCGCGCGGAATCGACATATAGCTACAATTTATTTTGTGTTATTTATTTCTGTGTTTGTTATATCTACGGAGACTTGAGGGACTCTATATGGTGATTTCTTGTAACCGTGAACGAATCAAAAGACGAGATAAGATTAGCGAGAACATTTATTAGCTTACATATATCCGACTTGGATTTTACATAAATTGCGAAATTATACCCCGACTTACGCGGTTATCGCTCGGTCCCACCTATCGCGTAAGTTCGGGGTATTACTGTACTGTACAAGCTGGACAATGGGTTTGAAAAGATCGGCGGCGAGAGTTTGAGAGATTTGTTGTCGTTTCTGCCAAAGAGTGGATCCCAACTCTGGAGGTGGGGGGAAGCTATACCCGGACGACAATTGGTCTTTCTTCCACATTACAGATAATTTCAATGGAATTTTTGTGGGTGATTCGGATTGGACGTCCACGTCGCTTAACCAAAATCGTCCAGGAATAGATCTTATATTAATTAATACATATTTTGACTCGTTTGTTAAAGATCTTAAAGGCGGCCGGTAGAGTCTAATATTGGGTGCCGTGGCGGGAGAGCGCGCGGAACTACCTTAATAGAATCGTTTTGATTTCGCGTAATGTTTTAATCGGTGCATATTTTGATTAATGTTTAAGTTAAAATTAACATTTTTATTAAAACTGGTACCGAATAAAACATTACGCGAAATCAAAACGATTCTATTAAGTAAGGCGGCACTCCGTATTGGACTCCACCGCTGTGACATTACAATTACATTTAACCTGGTAGAAACCCCTGTCCGACTTTGTTTTGTCTCGAACTTCTCTATCACTCTCTGCTTCATTATTCCACATTTCTTCCATTCATCGTTCAAAAGTTTTTTAACGCGGATTTTGCAGAACAAAACTTCTAATAAGAAATAAAGCTGTGGCACGAGCCAGACTCTTTTTAATTGAGGTCCTACACACTTTAAATGTAATTGTATATTTCGGCTGTGAGCCACGCAAAATGTAACTTTATTCAAATCTTGATAATGTTTCGGCTAGTTTACCGTAATTTAAAATCCTTTCGTTCGTTCTAAATGTAAAAACGAAGTCTATATAAAAGCAGAACTTACAAAATAATAAACATTAAAACACTATTAAAGATTTAAATTTATCATATTCAATATTCGTCCAGCTCCGAATCTCTATTTCCATTATTTTCCGCCTTCGTTGTACAGTACAGTATTCACTCGACTAACGTGCAC